GGGGGTGAGAGGGTGTTCAACACCCCCGGCCCCCACCCCCCTGCCATGGGCAGGGACACCTCACACTAGACCATGTCAGCCAAGGCTCTGTCCAGCCTGGCCTTGAACAGGTGGAGCATTCACAACTTCCTTGGGCAACCTGTGCCAGCACCTCAGCACCCTCACAGTAAAGAACTTCTTCCTTATATCCAACCTGAATTTCTCATTTCAGTTTGAACCCATCACCCCTTGTCCTATCACTCCAGTCCCTGATGAAGAGTCCCTCTCCAGCATCCTCGTAGCCCCCTTCACACACTGGAAGCTGCTCTGAGGTCTCCAGCAGCTTCTCTTCTCCAGGTTGAACAGCCCCAACTTTCTCAGCCTGTCTTCATCCAGCCCCTGATCATCCTCATGGCCTCCTCTGGACTTGCTCCAACAGCTCCATGTCCATTTTATGTTGAGGACACCAGAACTGTACACAATACTCCAAGTGAGGGCTCACGAGAGCAGAGTAGAGGGGCAGGATCACCTCCTTCAACCTGCTGGTGCAAAAAGACAGTATCTCTGTAGAATAGTTGTTTCTAACAGGAGTCACAAGAGCCTGGAGAACAGGTCCTATCTGCAAGGTTTACTGCAAAGCAAAATGCTTTGCTCTTTGAGCAGTCTGACCTGCTGGTTTTTGTGGTGCTTTTGGCCAGGTAGAGGGGGACACAGCAGTTTTACATTGGTATTAACTAGGAGAAAGAGGGACTAGTAACAGGTTCACCACCTTGTGATTACCATTCTTATCCCCAGCATCACTAAACCTGGTGAAAAAGGACCTTTCTCAGCCTGCAATTCAGTGATATAGAACAGACATGTTCCAAGCTCTGAATGTGTACACAAGAGGATGGATTTGCAGGTATTTTGCAGATGTGCAGTAAAATGTAGCTGTTTAAGCACATATCCATTTCACCTTGCCTTTCCCACAGGCAATAAATGCCCACACACTCAGTTAAACAGTTGGCTACACCACAAGTCTGGCAACTTGTCAGTGGTTGTGTGCCAGACTGTGATTTTCTTGCAGGTTAATTGCTTTAGGAGGAACTCAACTGAAACTGGGACCTGCTGTGTATTTGCAAGTGTTTCAGTTTATTTGCCTGCATCTATCCACAGGACACTGTTGGTACCCTTGATCTGTGGCCCACGCTGCCTGAGTCCTTCTGAGGACTGGAGTGTCTTACATATCCCTAAACCTCTGTGTCTCAGCACACAGACTCCCTCTGAGTAGTGTCAAGGTATTGAGAGAGCAGGCAAGCACCTGAACCCTTGATGTTCTCACTCCAAACTCCACTGAGTTCTGCTGGTTGCCTCAGAGCTGGCTGTGTGCCTGTTGAGTATTAGTTCAAATAGTGGCTGCTGCCCAGGAGAACCACCTTAAATCACCCAAGGACCTTGGGAAAAACATTAGTTCTAATTGCAGCCTTTAATGAGTTTAAAGCTGTGGTGAAGAGGAAAGATTTGTCAGCTTTTCCATTTCAACTGGAAAGCAACAACCTGCGTGCATTCAATGTCTCCAGCACTGAGAAATTCATGCAGCTGCCTCCTGCTTGGGAACACAGTACGGCAATGTCATCTCAGTCCTCTCTGTAGATGTGAATATGGACTGTAGGAACTACAACAGTAAAGAGGACGTCAGATCCATATAAGACTTTAATTACCCAGCTTCCAAGAAAGATGCAAATACTTGTCATGCAGCAGAATAATCTGCCTTCAGCAAACCCTTGAACTTATAAATAATGACAGGGTCATACACAGAAACAAGTAACCTTCAGAGCAAGATGCCCTCAGATAGCCATGACAAGGAGCATCTTCTCGT